CCTTCCTTCCTTCCTTCCTTCCTTCCTTCCTTCCTTCCTTCCTTCCTTCCTTCCTCATGGTGTAATCTTTAACCATCTGATCATTATTTTGAAACTTTAACTTCTTCAGTTTCACAGTGAAGGTAAAGCATGGGGAGGAAAGTTGAGTCAAGAAAAATTTTTAATTTTCCCCTAGAATTTCTGGGGAACCTTTTATTTATAAAGCTTGTTAAAAATTGTGACAAATCCTCCAAAAGAACACTCTTCATTTTCCAGTTTATTTTATATAAAAAAAATGTTATGGATGTTATGTAATGCTCCCATCCCTTCCCCTCATATACCTTCACAAAAGCAGAAACACAAATCTAGACATGCAAACGGACAAAAGTGATGATGCAAAAGTTTCACACCCACCTTCAGATAAAGGTTACTGTGGCGCATCTGTTAAAATGTTTTAAAATGATGTCTGTATTAAAGTGTGATTTGATTGATGGCCAAATGTGTCTTTTCATGGTTGTCTGGCATTTGAAATAAACATTTAGATGCAGACAACTAAATATTATTTACTATATTATCAGAATATGTAAATTATTTCAAAATAAGTGTTGTTGTTTTTTATTTACTATATGAAATTGCCCAGAAATGTTTGGGAAATTTAAGCTTTAGTTTACAGTGGGACAAATTTGAAAATAATTTCTTCCCTGTAGTACATAGCTACTAGGTTAGAGCTATATGCATAAGTATTTTTAGCCTTTCCTTGCTGCAGAATCGGCTCAGGTAGTGAAGAGTTCAGGCCTTTTTCTAGTGTTCTCTTTACCTTATCCTGCAGGTTACTAAAAAGATTTACAATTAAAACCAGATTTTTACATGCTATACATACATACTATATTCCCATCGTAATATTTTCAGAAAGAAGAGGGCTTTTATGTCTCACAGATGGATATACTGTATGTTAGTGTGAAATATGTGAATGAACCCCAGAGAAGTGTCACAGGACTTCTCTGGGGCCCAACTGAATTGAAAAGATGATTCAATTCAGTTTATTTACATAGCGCCAATTTGCAACACGTCACCTCAAAACACTTTACTATTAAACAAGATCATACAGTTAAATTGATTTAAAATTTTCTAATGCATGAAAGAAAGTTGATTTTTTTTTTTACCTTGAAACAATTCATGCATCTCCAGTAGTCACCTAGAGAAGATCCTCTGAAAAGGCATAAAAAGACTGAGCACAGTTAGTACTACTTCTAGAATTCTAGAATTGAACATCTATGGGAGGGCTCACTCAGCTCATCTTTTTTGATATATAATTCACATTAGATGATTGCTTTTGTTCTAAAATCTGAAGAAAAGAAAAATAATTTACTTAGCTGTGAAAATACATTTTATTTAGCATAACATATATATATTTAGTGGTTCTTAAAAAACAGGAAATTTCCAGCATCAGACAAAAAAAGAAGGGTTCTGATTACTGCCATTCACCTATTAAAACAGTGCAGTTTGGATTTATTTTTATCATTCTCAAAAGACTGTTTTTCCATATTGAAAGTCTATTTTCCCACGTTTTAAAACAATTGAGCATAAAAAACACATGTGTAAAAAAATTAAAGAAAACCAATTAGAGGATTCTGTCATTTGATAATAACTTTTAAAAAACGACTCGGTCAGCTGTTGAGACCAAAATACAAAATCAACACTCTTTTATTCATTCCAGCCTTATTCATAGCTGCAGAGAGGTTCTTGTTCAAACCTGGCAACCCTGGCCTCATCGGACGCCCGCTGATGACGTAGAACTCCCGCGACTCGTCACATGTGGAAAAACTGCAATCAAACGCTCACATCAAGAGGGTTTTCTTTTTAAATTATCTGTTAAAGTTTGGACTGCGGTCCCTTTTTTCAATTCATCATGGCTTCGACATCAATGCCGCAGAAGCGTTACTACAGACAGCGAGCGCATTCAAACCCGATGGCGTACCACACCTTTGATTAGTGAGTGGAGATCCCACCAGCTTCTACTGGCCACTTTCACTACTCTGCAGTCTCACTTAAGCTTTCTGTTTGGACTGGACAGACCTTCACTGCTCTGATTTCTGCCTTTTTTTTTATATATACATCAGCAAAGTTGGAAAGATATAAATCTGAAAGGCACACTATAGTCTATTAAAGTCAGTTTAAAGAATAACACTATATAGCAAGAACTACTTGAGTTATAAGATGCAGAAGAAACTAAATCTCTCTCTTAAATGAAATATTCTCGAATTATTTTATAATAAATCAGTCTTATTTTAATTTCAATTTAATTTGGAATAAAATACAATTGAGTGAAATAAAAGAAAAGGTTTACAATAACCTGTGCAACTAACACTGTGTTGAAATTGAGCTAAACCAGCATTTTATCTTGCATCCTTTAAATAAAGCAAGCTCAAGGGTCTAACTATATAAATAGTATAAATGTTAGATAAATCTGTCGCCAAAAGCAGCTTTAAAATTATTGATCTTGTCCTGGATACAAAGATAATTTATAACTTATTTATGTTGTGATAATAAAAAAACAAAAAAAGGTGGCATTTTGATAAAATCAACATCTGATCTTGGTTTGTATTTGCCCAAAAACTATAAAATGATGTATTCATCTGGAATTTGAGGCCCCAAATCTAAAGAATAGGCACTTTTTTCAGTTTATAAAATAAAAAAAAACAAAACAAAATTATGAATAAGCTAGTTACATTAAAGATCAAAACTTTATATAATTTAATACAGGGTGTGTGCGCTTTATAGGAATATATTTATCTATTATGTGATTAATAATTTATAGTTTATTGAAAGCATTTCCACATTCTTTGAAGCATCAGTAAGAGCCTTTGGTCTTTTTTTAGCTCCTGTCTGTTTACCCACCAGTATAGATTTTAAAGATTTCTTTGCATCATGTTCGCCGTTACTTCATCTCTTAGATCCACAACCTTATAGACGGGTCAATGCGGCTGATTAACTTTACACAATTTTGGACTTGCTCCCTAGTATTGAATATTGGTCAGTATCGGTGATTGTGAAGAGAGGATGGGTTTTCAGCCTTCTTCTGCATTAGGAGACTCTAAATGGCTCTACCAGTAGAAGACTGTCTCAGAATAGATCATTTAAATAATTCTTACATAACTCTCCTAAACTTAGTCTGGCAAAATGATCTAATTATCATGAGTTGAACTCTTCTTGGCCAGTAAGCGGCGCTCTCATTTTGTACTTTACCTCAGCTGGTTTCAGGATGCAATAATTCGCAGACATTTACCTGTTCAGGGTATAAACAAGCAGCATTTAAATTAATTGTTTTATTCTGTGCCTCTCGAGATAGTATATGAGTGTATTACTTTAGAGGAATTCATTATTTTAATAAGAAAATTGAGGCTTTGACCTTTGAAATGCTGTGATAGATTGTGATCATTTCTGTGTTTTATGCTATGAGTCATTCATTCATTTTCAGTGACTCTCCATGTTCTCCTCCTCTCCAGCCCAGTATGTCCTGAAGAGATGGACTGGTCCAAGCATTATCCAGACCTCATCCCCGATCCCTCATCAGGGAAGGAAGCCCCTCGAGTGGAGTTTGCAGACATTGGATGTGGATACGGGGGCCTTTTAGGTAATCAGGTCACCTTTCTGATGGCCTGCTCTTTCTCTGCTTGTAAAAGAGTTTTTGCATTGATCTGATATTTGCCTTTCTTTCTTCATCCTTATTTTCTCTTTCCAGTGGAGCTATCTCCTCTTTTCCCAGATAAGCTCATGTTGGGCCTGGAAATCCGAGTGAAAGTGTCTGATTATGTTCAGGACCGCATTCGGTCGCTGCGTGACCTGAACCCTGGAAGCTACCAGAACATCGCCTGCATTCGCAGCAATGCCATGAAATACCTCCCCAACTTCTTTTTCAAAGGACAGGTAGTTTTCTCTCTGATGCATTTTTACAAAAAAACATCTGGAGTGTTCTCTAGGATGTCCTTAATTGAAAACACAAACAGGGAGGTTAATGCCAGGACCGACAAAGGCTAGTTGTTTTAACATTCACTTAGTTTTTATACAGGTACATTTACTTTTTCTGTGTCTGTTTCATGACTGAAATCTTTGTCAGTCGATTAATGACTCCTCAGCACTTATTGGACAGCCTCTTGTACCAGTCAAATATTATTGGTTTACCTCTCACACACATGTAGGTCAGAATCAATAGCTTTGTTTCTCTCTGGGATCAATCCACTTACCTTCTTTTATAACATTAAGTAATACATTTTTATATGAAATATGTATGCATATATATATATATATATATATATATTAGTGCTGTCAAAATTATCGCGTTATTATCGCGCTAACGCAAGGCCATTTTAACGGCGATAATTTTTTTAACGTGAGATTAACGCTATGTGGTTTTATGGTACAATTTTCCAAGTACATCCCGCTGCAGCCTGCGGGAAG